ACAAAACCACAATGTCATCCATACCTATTAGGATGTCTTTGTCAAAAAGACAAAAAAATAACTAATGCTGGTGAGGAGGTGGAGAAAAGGGAAGCCCCGGCACTGTTGGTGGAATGCAGACTGGAGCACCCTATGGTAAACAGTATGGAGCTTCTGTTCAAGAAATTAAAAATAGCACTTCCATATGATCCAGCAATTCCACTTCTGGGTATAGATCCAAAGGAAATAAAACCATTTCTTTTTTTAAATTATGTGTATTGAGGTAACCTTGGTTTACAACACTGTGTTTTGGGGGTATAGGTGTACATCTCCACAAATGTTTATCACACCACGACCACCACCAAAGCCCCAATATCCCTCCATTATAGTCCCTCCTTGCTTTGCTCTACGCTCCCTGATGGTAGCATCAGCTGTGCAGTCAGATCAAGGGTTTATTTTGTTTCATTTTGCATTTGTCTGTGAAAACAGTATCTTGAAGAGATATCTATACCACAGTGTTCACAGCAACAACACTCAACCTAAAGATGCTTATCAATGAATAAGTGGATCAAAACAATGTGGTACACACACACACACACACGTGCGAGCGCACACACACACACACACACACACACACACACAGGAATACTATTTATCCTTCAAAAAGGAAATCCTGTCATTTGCAACAATGTGAATGAAACTTAAGGGTATTATGCTAAATGAAATAATGGCAGATAGAAGACAAATACTGCATGCTATTGCTTATATATGAAATCTTTTTTTAAAAATCAAACTCAAAGAAACAGAAGCAGTAGAAAAGTGCTTGCCAGGGTTGGTGGGGGCAGAGAAGAAATAGAGTTTGTTAAAAAAAAAAAGTACGAGCTTTCATTACGTAAGATGAATAAAGTTAAAGGATCTCATATATAGCAAGGTGAGTATAGTTGAAACTACTGTAGTATATAATGGAAACTTGCTAAGTGGAACATAAATGTTCTCACAAAACAAGAGGGGGGAGGAGGTGATGTGGTAGATGTGTTAATTAACACTAATTCACTGAGGGACTCCTTTCACAAAGTATACATATGTCAAATCATCATGTTGTACACATTAAATATCATAAAATTTGTTAGTTATGCATCAATAAAGCTGAGGGGGTGGGGGGAAGGCTACTGTATCATTCCAGAAGTTTGAAAAACAACTGATTCATCATGTCAATCATAATTTCTTTCCACAATTATGTAAATTATTTCAGAATTCACATGGGATATTTGAAATTATAAGCCAAGATAAACTTACAAAATATTTACATTACTGATTAACATTTAAGTCCCCTGGAGTTTCAAAATTAATTCTAGGAACATTCAGTGGAGAGAGAAAAGAGCCAAGTGGAATATTAGGGTTAAATTCGTGTTTAGCCTATTATTTCTCTTGCATCTGGTAAAAATCTTACTGTGAGGTGTTTATTGTAACCAAAGAGACCACAGGTTTCTTAAGAAGTATCACATGCTATCTATTGCACTTGGGTGATATCACATTTTCTAATATCTCCAAAGTTTTAGAAAGAGTGGTGTCTATAAGTGGGATGTTTTATCATTTTTGGAACTCTGTTTTCCAAGTTTTGACTTCAGGGTAAACAAATAGTTGTTTTCATCAAAGTATATCAATATTCTTTTTGGAACAATCAATCTGGTTTTGATAAGCAAACCTTCTTTGATAAGCAATTCAAGAATAATTATAATAATGCAAGTTCAATGCAAAGAAACACTGACTTTTGTGTTTTGCTTAATTAACAAAAACAACAGTTTATACTAGACCTTCTATTAAGAAATGTCAGACACGTGATAGGTCTTGGCCATTATAAACCACCTTTAATATGACTGAGTCAACTGAAAAAAAATTTAAATAATGATTTAGCTGAAGAGTTAAACAAACAGTATTAAAACATTTTCAAGCTTAACTGTTACATATTTTTCTATTAAAAAGACTGACGGAACATGACTTTTTAAAAGCAACCCACATAACTAATTGGATCCCCTTCTCCCTGTCTCACTTTCTCAAAATTTGTGGAATTTTCAAAATACTTTTTTCAACCACCAAACATTTAACTGTCCAAAAATCAAGGATTTTCACGAACATTTCTCACAGCTGAATCTATTAAGCAATTATGCATCATGTCACTAAGTGAAAGTAGCCTGAATTTCTGCATTAATACTACTCATTTATTATTCTGATTTTTATTCATTCTAATTTTTGCAGAGCACAAATCTTTTCATCCTGGGGGCTAAGCTTATTACAGAATAAACCATACTGCAGATCTAGATATATATTTTGCTCAGCTAAAATCGTATGTCAAAATGGACACAACTCCTCCCAGTTTAGATTTTAAGTTTATTTTTAGCTTGTGATTTTAAAATTTAACATAAAAGCATCTTGCCCCATAAGTGTGTTAACTAGATTTTTTTTTCAATTGAATAATAAAATCAACAATGAAATTAACTAACTCTATCTCTGAAGAGCAATTGGGAAGCTTTCACAAGACACAAGGTTTTAAATCTTCACAGAAAAACGCTTTCTCTGTCAAAGCATTCAGAGATCAAATAATCCAATGTGTTAGGTAAGTGAAATAAATGCAGTTAGTCAGTTTAGTGTTTGTAGCAAAGTGACATCAATGAGAAGACTTCCTGAGGAGCTTAACCTAAGAGGGCAGAGAGTACACCGCCACGCCTCTGCCCAGGAGTGCACACAGCTGGGTAGGGATGTACAACCCATGCCCTAGAAAACTCCTCCTGCACCAACAGGGAGCCAGGAAAGCATCACTGGTTAATGCCATTTCCTCTCTGGTATCTCACAGGCATGATTTCGTGATTTCACCAGCACAGGTTCATAATAAGCCTGTCGATGACACATAAGCTCGGTAAGTAAAATTAGAGCAATTTTGTCACCCAGAGAAGTAAGGGTGGCTTCAGAATGTCCTTCTAAGGTCAATGACTCATGAAAATGGCAGACCACAGGCTGACAAATGGAAATGAAAAAGGGGAAGAGAGACAATCCTTAATTTGCCTTTGTCTTGAGCTAGGGAAAGAGAGACTCAAACAGCACTAAATTTTACACAAGTCCCAGTGCTGAGCTTCCCATCGGGAAGGCTGGGGAGAAGGTCAGGCCTGTGATCTGGGGTTACTGGTGAACAGGAGGGAAGTATAGAAAGTGAGAGCGAACATTTAGGAGGAGGAATCTGGCAGAGTAATTTTTATATCTGTTGATATAATAATAAAGCATAATTGTAATTATATATCTCTGGATTTTACAAGAAGCATTGATCCAGAAAACATTCAGGATATCTGTATAGATATGTATATCTGTGCATGTGTGTGTGTGTATCTATGTAAAGAAAGAGAAAAAGAGTAAGATCCTTTATCATAGATACTTTGAGAAGCTCTGCCCCAGAGCAACCAAAACAAAGTTCTATATGGATGTTGTGCCTATTAAGTGTGCAAGGATATTGATTTAGCTGCAGTCATCTCTAAAATTACTAGAATATTAAGATTTTTCAGAAGCAGGTAATTTTACCCATGTGTAATACACTAAGCTCCTCTGATTAACATTTGAATTAATCTAGAGCTATTTCAATTGCAAGCCAATGAGATACCAAATAATCAAAACTGTTCAGAGGAATTGAGATATTAATTAACATAATTCCATCGGGAAAGGAGAGTTCTGTGGTCAAACAAATTTGGGACAAAACCTCCATCCCACAGCACCCTCCTAGGGAGGAAAGATACCTATTAGCATATCAGGATCCTTATAAGGCCTGGAGTTAAGACAAATGTTTAACTGCACAGACAAGCTCTTTATCCAAACATATTAACACCTTGCTCAGGAAACACAATTTTTCAAATGTGGGTATAGTCAAGACTCCAGATTAGCAATCAAAAGCCTACTAGCTGTTTCTTGCCTTCATTTAGAAATGAACCTCACTAGCCACCCCACCACACTGCTGAGCTGCAGCAGGGATGAGATGAAGATGGAAAAGCACTCCTACCATAAGTAAGCACCTGGAGGGGGAGGACCTGGCACTCCCCCGCCCTTTGCTCTCATGGCCCCTCCTGAGGCCCACACCTGCTCTGTGCTCAGCACAGGAAGTTGCTCTCTAGAAAATGTTCCAGGCTATCTCCTCCTCCCCCATTCAGCCAGGATAGCTAATGCTGATGGCCACTTCTGGGAATTACTCCCTTTGGCATTCCCTATCTTTGGAGGCCTGCAGGCCAGAGTGGCCTGGGTGGTGCTACCGCTCATCCTTGGAGATGCAGGTAGGCCCCAAAGAAGAGCCGGGAGGAAGCCCTGCATGTCTCACAAGTTCTAGGTGGTGGCACCTGCCCTTGGCTTCAATCTCCAAGCAGAGACATTTCTCTAAGACGCTGCAGGGGTGTCGGCCACAATCAGAGAGGACTCGAGAGTGCTCAGGTTCCCAAGCTCACAACCATCTTTCCACCCCAAACCACCTGCTCCCACATGGTGCCCAGTAGGGACCCAGTGAGCGAATATCACTTTCATCTTACTGGGAAAACAATCTAAACACAAATGTCACAACCCCGAAGAGAAAGCATCGTACGAAGAAATCATGTAAGGGATTGATAGCATCTCTTCTCTCACCCACCATGACAATCCAGCTGCTGTGCAACCTCTGGGTACTCATTTTAACAATCAATAATAATAATAATACACTTTCCCTCAAACAATTGTTATTTTTAACTTTAAGGGCTCCCCTGTTTACTTCAAAGGCAGCACCCAGAATGTGAGCCATGTCTACAAAGTCATGTGGTCAGTGAAATGTAGGTCAAGGAATTGGTTTTCTTATATGTTCTTCCAACCACCAAACCACAGGGTCTTTGTTAAGGTCAAAATTATCATGAGACATTATTTACATAGCACACAATGAGCTCAGTTCTGCAGCTGTTACAAACACGAGCCACAACTTAAAATAATAAAAAATAGAAAGATAAAGAGCTATTTGTTTTACTCACTGTTCACGTAAACATTAAATGTCACGGAGGAATTGACATCGGAATTGGATGCTAGAAATGTGTAAGTGCCTCCTTCGCTCCCTTTTAATCTGGTCAGGTGAAGTTCACTGACATATCTACAAAAAAAGGACAAAAAAATCAATCACCCACAGACAGCCTCCCTCAGAGTGGTGTCTTGTTCACAGTTTCTATATCTGGAAATACTCACCTGTTTGGGGAAAAATATGAGTCAATTTAGTATTAATAAGATCCACATTAACAAACGCACACATATTTAATTTGGGACAAATGTCTGTCGTGTGGGAAGGTGTGTGGGGAAAGCCTGTCTAAGTACAAAGGCAACCTCATGGCGAGTGCAGCTACCATCTCCCCTGGGCCACAGTCTGCTCTGCCCACAGCCTTTCATTCATGCTCCGCTCACCAAGCCCCGAATCACCTGCCCTGCTTTGCTTTAGCAACACTCCCCTGGCCAGGACGAGACCGGCAGCCATCTACCTTCAGGCTGTCTCCAGGCAGATACTTCAGGGCCCTGGCAACAAGGTCAATACTGTTGCCCTTGCTTCCTTCTCGCCACGCCACGGCCTCTGGTTTTCCTTCCGCCCCTGCTACTTCCTCGTGTCTTTGGCAGTTCAGTTCTAAGTCCTCACTGAATGACATCCAAGAGGATCTTCAAAAACTGGCTTTTGGTGAAATGACTGATCATGAAACTGATTTCACCATAGACTAATTGATAGAACTAAGAGTCTAGCTTCTGTGGCAGATTTCTGGCCATAAAAACATCACCAGACTTCTAAGTAGAAACCCCAAACACCTATAATATTAAGCAACCTAATATTAAGCTTAATTCATTTCCCAAGCTGCTTTTTCCAGCTCAGGATCTCAGGTGGCCAGACTATCCCAGCAGCTCAGGGCACAAGCCAGGACCCAGCCTTGGGCAGAACACCCTGCTCTGACTCTCTCTGTCTCACACACACAAACACACATCACTAAGACTAGGACAGCTGAGACACACCAACAAATCTAACGTGGACATATCTGGGCTGCGGGAGGAAACCAGAAGACCTGGACAAAACCAGGTCTTTTGGTTCTGTCATGGGGAGCACGTGACACTTACGTATAGACAAGGTCCTGGCTGGAATTGATTCTACTTAACAAAATGACATTATTCAAGGACCTGCAGTATTTGCCATGGAGCTTCTGTTGTACTGCAGGGCTGCCAGAGGTGGCCAAGCAGACCAGCACAGTCCACCATCAGGGGAGTTGCTGACACAGGCTCTGGTGTGGATGGAGTCCCTGGGCAGCTCTTAGCCCACACAACTGACCACAAGCATGGCAACTGGCTGAGCAGCTTCCCTGGCAATCCACTATCACCACAACTACTTGCTGTTTGCCTGCTACTTTCAGATCATCAACTCTAGTCCAGGCTTCTGTGCCCCAGCCACTAAAACAAGATCACATGCCTACTCATCCCCCATGCCTCTTGGGTGCAGTTAGCAATGACTCATACCTGCAACCTTCTCCCAATCTTGCCCTTGGGCACTAAGACCCACTAGGAAGTTGAGTGCACCGCCTGGCCTGCAGTCAGTGAGTGGGACCTCTGAGAGGGACCAAAGCTTCAAGCATCCTAGGATCAGACCATGGCTCTGCCTCACCTTACCTACATCCTCTCCCTTTTCTTTCCCCTCACCACCTAATTCTCCCCCTGCAGCTCTTTTCTCCCTTATGAAGCCCTTGCCTAAGAATTCCTGCCTCTATGGAACCTGACTTAGGAGGCCTCCCACCTGAACATCTCCAGTGAAGATCCCCCCAGGCAACCTCAACTTCCACAAAGCCCAAGCTGAACACACTGCCTTTGCCCTCGCTCTTCCCTCTCTCTCTCTCTCCTTGAAAGCTGCTGCCTCTCACCAGCCAGCTAGCTGATGGACCCGACTCCTAAGGGACATCTTCAGTGCTTCCCTCTCTTCAACCCCCATCACCTGGACACCCTCCAAGTCTATCTTCAACCCTCAGACCTGAGCCAAGGACATCACCATCTCGCACCACATTCTTACAACCAATAATGGCTTCTGAATGGAAAAACAGACCAACTCTATATGGGCACCTATTCTTATCAGCTATGTGATCTGAGTCAAACTATATAGCCCATAAATGTCTCAGTTCCCTATTCATGGAAATATGAGAGAAATAAGATCATCTACTCATAAAGTTTGTGAGGACTAAAATTAGTTAACGTGTTAGGTCCTTCCTGCAGGGCAGAAAAAAACACATGCACTTACATAAAGGGTTACTATTGTGACTATTTCTACCACAAATGTTCTGAGGATCAAATGAGAGATATGATGTAAAAGACATGGGTTCATTGCCTGGCCCAAAGCTACTTAATGATTCTTAGTCTTCTTGTAGTTTAAAAAAAATGATTAAAGATGCTTTCCTCTCTCTTGGAAGAGAATTCTTTAACGTGTCCCAAGTATACGCAAGTTATTGCTTTGAACTGTCCTCAGAACCAGGGAAACTAGCCTCCCTCAGAAAACTCAGGCACACACTGTTTTGTGGGCTCTTATGTAAGAATATGAAACATGGGATGAAGACTCAGCCCCAAACTTCCTTTGAAAGCAGGTGTTTGCTCACATTTATTTATGGGTTACGGAACAAGATGTGGAAAGCCAAGTGACAGGAGGGGAAAATGTGCAATCTCCAGTAAGGGCTGTTTTCTTACCTGATATTACTGTCATTCTCAGACTTGGGGTAATCTTCCCACTTATCAGTGGAGGTTCTGTTCATATAGATCCACAGCTGGCGTTCAGGTTTGGGGTATGCATCGTACTCAACAATCAGATCCACATTTTCTCCATCATTTACAAATATTGTAGTATTCATCATAGGGAAGATATTAATGAATCCTTTATCTAATCATAACAGAATAAAACAGAAGGAATCCATTATCCACATGACCTGACAAAAATCAGGACTTCATCTTTAGGTTACAAAGATAATTGACTGATCCCCAGTATTAATTGGCAATGACAAATTAAAGAATTTTAACTAGCCATTTTACATTCTATTTTGTTCTTACAAAATCACTGTCATGAACTGAGAGCACACATAATTGAAATGCTTACTCTCCCATCACTGTGTATTAAAAATCTATCGGAATCTTACAGGTCTTTTAGAACTATTAGTCTAGAGGGTCATTATGTTAAAAAAAAATATTTGGACCATATCCAGACCTAATGTAATTGTGTGTGTGATAAGATGTCATAAATCAGGAAGGAGGGGGGCTCTAATGCTCAATGAAAAAATGTTGGGGCCTCCCTAGTGGCCTAGAGGTTAAGTCTCAGCACTACCACTGTCAAGGTCTTCTGTGATGGCCTGAGTTCGATCCCTGGCCAGGCGGCTAACCCATATGGCACAGCAGACCCCTCCTCTCTTGCTTGCTGCTCCCCTCAGCAGTGTATTTTAGGAGATCCACCTGTTCTGTTCCCTATTCTTTCTCCAGTAAATTATCTCAACACCCACCCCCCACATCTTTGGCCTGCACCCCAGTTCTTTTACACAAAAATATTTTTTTAACGTTGAAAGAATGTCATGAAGTATTTGAAGAAAAATAAACTTAGTTCTTCTTATTATATCATGTATCACAGATGAATGAAGGATAGTTTTTTAATAATCAAACCGTATTTTTAACTAACACACTTGACTCCTATCAAACTTCTATAAAAAGGCAGGCAGTGTTCTGGGCATTTGGAAGCAACAGAAGCATCATAAAAGAAAAATCTGAATATATAAATATTTTTAAATGACTATGCAACAAAATTAGTTTATAGGAAAAAGAGGACATGAAAATATAGGAAAAATGCTTTAATAACTAAAATAAGCCATCACTTTTCACTTACAAACAATTGCAACACTTCAATAAGACTTAAAAAGTAAAATATATCCATCTTATAGAATAGTAATAATCAAACCAATTTGAAATAGACTCAACAATTTTACAAGTGCGGTAAATAGCCCGTTGAATGCCATACTGTAAACCGGCACCACTCTTTTAGAAAGCATTTAGTGACATAGATTCTCTTAAGTGATCTGTTCTTCAATTTACCCCTGTAATTTCCACTTGGGAACTTTTTTTGGTGAAACAGCTTCAAAAAGAAGTACTATTTATAAGAGAACATTCATTTAAAAAAATGAGAAATCAGAGAACTGTTTACATAAACAAAGCACCCTTAAGAAGCAGCTATAATAATATAAGAAAGGACATCATAAAATAATTGCCAATATATTCTTAACAGCCCTATTTATGCAGTGCTTACTATATGCCAAGAATTGCCCTAAGTATTTTAGCTTATTTAATAATTATGAGAATAATTAATCTTATGACAATAGTGAAAAATAAAACTCCTAATTCATAGATGAGCAAAATCAAGTCCAGGAAAGTCATATAGCTAGCTACTGAATGGCAGAGAGTAGATATGGGTACAGGTCTTTGAGAAGTCAAGGCTGGTCTCTTCTTACTATAGCTGACCCTAGAGTCTCTATACATTTTCAGAGACAAAGAGATTGAGAGAGAGTGACAATAACACTGTATGGATAACGAAAATTCTGTTGCATATGAAATAAGCAATATTCCAAATCTTACAATTATTATATCAAGTTAGTGGGATTGTGGAAGAATTTTAATTTTATTCTTCCACTTATTTCTGAAAATTAAAAAATTAACTTTAAAATTTAAAATCAGCATGCATTGTCTTTGGCACTAAGTAGCTAAATGCATTAAAGTCTCATGTGAGACTGTCAATGACCATATTACTACCCTTTGGTTTCCTATAGATTCAGAATAAAAATGGACTCCAACTGACCTGTGTACCAATTGAAAATGGATTTTTCAGGTGAGAATGAAAAATCATTCAAATGGAAAATGGAGGTGGAAACCACCTCACTGTAATTATCTAAGTTATAAATGATCCCCTTTGCCATTCTTTGCATAATTTAGGTTAATTCTGAGGAATAAATATTTCATCTGAATGCTACATAAAATTTTTAAGTTCTCAAGGTCATAAATTTAAAGATATCACACAATGCAAAATATTAAGATCCTACAGACAATAATATTTGCACTGTATTAATTCTCTCAAATCACCATGTATAAATTACTCATTTTAAGTTCCTCCTGAGTTTTCTATAAACCATATACTTTGCTCAATGGCCACTTTATGTCTTCACATTCATTAAGTCTAAGAATTCTTAGTATCAAAGAACTCCATCCAGATAGTTATAACATTAATGTACATTTGCATTAAGAAATTGGTGACACATTAACTTCTAATCAAATGCAAACATCATGCAAGGCACTTCTATCAAATCTATTGCCTTTTCTCCTTTCCCCAGCCTTGGGAGTTAGAGGCTGTGCTTCTCAGAAGAGAAAATGCAGGCCAAGTTTAGTTCAGATGCATTTGAAAGTTAAGTGGCAGAACCCCAATTCAAAACCAGGCTGCAGCCATCCCTAAGCCTTGTTGTCCCCACCAATCCATGTCACACCCAAAACCTGTGCCTGACCCCAAGAGAAATGACTGTTCTCTTTGTTCCTTCCTGTTCTTGTCCCATTGTATCTCCTGAAACAACACAAAACCAGATTCAGGTTTCACCACCTCACATCTTTCCAGTTACACAGTTATATTCTTGGAAATTGATGAATGCATTTTAAAAATCTGATTACATACAACAATATGCTCAAAACATCCTTACTAATTGCTTTCTGGAGCTGAAGCTGATATATCAACATGCTCCCTAATCAACTTAGCAAATTAGCACTTATGGAGTTTAATATTTTAAAAGCATAGCCTTCTATTCAAATTAATAAATGGTTCACAATCATGTTTAGGGATGGAGTAGTATTCTTTCTCTGGGATGACTCTATAATTGCAAGTAAAATGTCTTTTCCACGTTCAGTCTGGTGAGATCCTCTCCATTACAACATGGGCAGAAACACTAAAATTATATGGGATTTTTGTGGGATAAATTACAGACCTCTAACGTTGCCACATGAATTACTGAAGAAATATATGGTGGGAAAGAGAGATGAAAATAAATATCGCATCATTTTATTATTGTTCATGATGAAAAATTTTACCACCCTGCAAGTGCTTAATCAACATCAAGCACAAAGTACATGGTTACATTAAGAAGACAAGAAAACAGACTAACTTCAAACAATACTAAATAGTGTATAAATGAAATACTTTAAAAATATTTTCAGTAAACCAAAGCCAGCTAGTACTTCACTATACTCTGCTCTCTTTAAATAGCTATTTGGAAAATAAACATTTGGTGAGATTTTGGGGGAAGGGAAGAAAGGCTAAGCCAGTGTGGATACCAGATGGGGCACAGGTTCCCATGTTCCAGTTTATGCTCCAAGGAACTCTTCCTGAAAGTCTATGTTCTGACCTTTAAAGTTGGAGGTAGGCATCGCTTCTCGGCCTTTTGGCTAAGATCAAGTGTAAAGTTGGAGGTAGGGTAAGGTAGGGCCAGGGAGAGGAGGCATATGTTGGGGCAGAGAAGTCCAATTCAGCCTTCCTGGCTACAAATGACCTAGATCCATGCACTGGTAAAACGATAAACCAAAAAGGCTGATGTGCACCACCAAGTGATTCAGAGAAATACTTTAGTCGCTGAGGATCTGCATTTCCCAAAGAGAAAAGTCTACGGCCACTTTCAAATTCAAGTCATTTGGCAAGGACTAGAATTTTTGAAAAAGCTCAATTTACATTTTATTTGTTTGATGGAGAGGAGAGGGAAAGTAGCAGAGGGAATGATAGGTTTGAACAACTTCAGTTACAGCTTTCCACTTACCTTTAGTAAATTGGTAGAATTTTGCGCTCTACTTGGAAGAGGCTACAAGGATAATTTTCATCCAGCCATTCATTCATTTGGTGATAATAAAATTTCTAAGAATCTGTTCAACATTCCATTTACATAAAAAGGAAACTATCTAGTAATTTCTTCTTTCACTACTGCCAGTAATTTATACATTCTAATAGAGATATTTACCTACTACTTCCAAGGTTGTTGTGACATTTGCTGATCCAAAAGTATTATTGGCATAACACATGAACACTCCAGAATCGTTAACTCTTGCTGAGCTGATAGTCAACCTTTCTTTACGTTGGAAGTCAAAGTCACCGTGATGCCTGCTATTACTCTTTACCTGTGTTTTAGTCTGTTGGTTTCAGAAAGGGAGAAAAAAAAAAAAATCAAAGATTACCATAAAATTTATATTCAGGATCTTTCCTAGATAAATTAAAAATAGCAGCAATTAACTTCTTCATATTAGCATTCATTATACACTACTTAAGTAAGAATAATAAAGCATCATGACAAGTCTGTCACTGGAACACTTCATATTACAGGATTATATTGAAAGATAGTCATTATTAATGATTGGAGGAAAAACATGAAAATTCATTTCTTAATAACCACAGCATACATAATTCTAAGCTCTTTGCAGCACTACATTTTTTTTTAATCAAGCTAAACTTCCGGTTATTATAGAAAAAATATAGAATACTGACTTTTTCTGAGTCAGCATACTTAGGTCATATCAACAGCTCCTGTTACATAATTTTTTATTCTGTATCCCAGTGATTGGAAGAAAACACAAACATTCTATTTTATTAATGGTTATATTATTGTCATGAATAAAAGTATAATCACAATGTCGATAACTTAGAAATCCATCTTGTAGTCTTCACCCAGCAGAATTCTGGCTACTATTGAAGGAGTCCAAAGTAGATGAGACATATAAGATTAAGCCCCATGAAGCATGAGCTAAAGAGAAAAGGTTGTGAATTTGTCTATCATGGTGATATTGTAATCCCACCCTTACTTGTCTACAGATAAGACAGGGAGAGATTTCTAGTATGGAACACATCAGGAGAAAAAAATGACAGGAACTGCAGTTGTTTTTAGAAAAAATTCAAGGGAATAGCAAATAGATTTCTGTATCTTCTAAATTTTTCTGTAAGTGAAATACAGATTTACATTCCTATTCCTATTACACATTTCTATTACAATGAAAAAAATAAAAAAAAAAACTAAAAAAGGAAGTAAATAGGAACTGATATTAACATGAAATGAAATCAAGACTGGTTTGACAGCCAGGCCATGGTGAACCTATTAGCTTAGATTATTCTGACAATGTTGTAAATCAGAACAATTCTTCTGGAAAGTAACTTGGCAGTATGTCCATTCCCTCTGATCAACCAGCAAATTTATCTCAAGGAAATAATAAAAAAACAAAAGTTCCCAGATGTTTATTGCAGTGAAACTCAGAATGCCAGGTAATTCAAAATTATGAATGTAAAAATTTGAAAAGTGTTTGTATTAGTTAAAAAGCATAAACTGAGTGGACCTTAAAGCTACAACCATATGATAATATATATGCATGTGGGCAGAGAGGAAATAAATATGAAAAAAAAAAAAAGGGCAGACTACAAAGCAATTATAAGGACAAGTTACATGTGACCCTTAGTACTTAAAATACAGTCGTCCAAAAAATTTGTTTTTTAAATATAAAACATGCCCCAGATTTAAGATTTAATATGAAAAAAATACAAAGTCACATTAACTTTATGCTAATTACAAGAAAAATAATATTCAGGCAATACTGGGTCAAATAAAATACAGTATGAAAATCAATTTTACTTTACTCTTTGTAATGTGCCCCCCCAGAATTTAAATTACATAGGAGGTTCACATAATATTTCTATTGCAGCAATACTATATGCAACTGTGGAATTAGAACTTTTTGTTCTGTTATTAGATTTTTGAAAAAAAATTTATATTAAAGCAAGCTGACTGCCAGAATTGACTATTTCGAAATAAAAGGGAGAGAAGCCTATTTAACTGTGAAAACTCAAGGTCTCCAGTAGTCTCAGCTATTGTTTCTAAGAGAAGATGAAGAAACAAAACCTTTAAAGGAATTTCTGGTTCGAAGTACTATATAGATTTGATGCTAACCTCCTTCTAAGAGATTCTTCTAGTAACTAGTAGAAATCTGCCATTTCACTGTGACAGATCAATTATTAAGATGATGAGATGGCAAGAAGTAACATTTTCTCTGGCCTCTCCTAGTCCATCCTGTCCCAGACTTCTCCTCTTCTTCAGATAACAGACATGTTATCTGTACCTTGTTACAGGTACAATACTTACAATACTTGGTATCTTCTAGTTCTTACAAGACACCAAGAATCTCATTAGAGGCTAAACATGTCAGCACCAGAAAGAATAGTTTGGTTCAAGTGATGCAATATTAACACCCAAACCCAAAGACCATAATTTAAGATACCATCAAAGAGCGTAATTAAAAGCATTAGAAAAACTAGCCAAGATTTCTAAGGGTTGACTACACTCCAAGATTCTCATGTTTTAAACAAACAATTGCAAAAACTAAAAACACTCATTTTATCTTAAATTTCACTGTGAGTTAAACTATTCTAAATGGTTGGAATCCAACACTGGATTTTTGAAATGATTTAATGGTGCTAACAGTGCTAAGTAGTTCAAATTAAGCCAAAGGATATCAGTAAAAGATTCATAGATGAACCTTGGCAAGGAGCCACGAGCCCCATCTGCAAGTCACACATTACATATTGTTTGCACCTGATTTGGTTTTCCTTAACCCTTGGAGGTGCACACGGGATTTCCCCAAAGAGTTCCCAACACCGAGGGTTTATCTACCAGTGCCAATGGATTAATTGGGAATGGCATGCAGGGCTCCTGGGAAAAATGGTTCAGAACGAAACTGCCTGAGGCAATTTAATTTCTCATCTCAAAAAGGCTAATTTTCGAGTTATACAGATGTTCAAATACACACACAGTTGAAATTGTTCTCTCTAAAATCAAGGGATTATAGAAAGCCAACTTAAGGACTGTGTTCTGCAAAGTTAGTCAGAAATCTACACATTAACTATTGTTATTATTATATTCTATGATAAAAATTAAAACTTGTTTTTCTTGGTTTCCATTGGCTTAAAAGAACAAGCCTATAGTATAATCCATTCTCTTAGTCAATGGCATGCTTCATTTAGCAAGGTATCATCCATCACATGCCTACATGAATACCATGATAATGCTTTGCATTATGCTAATCACCATGGTTACTTGCTTTAACAAAGAATACTTTAAATTGGCCTGAAATTGCCAATGTTGAAAATGGGGCATGTTTTAGGAAGATGCAGGGGTGGGGTGGGGAGAAATATAGAATTTCTTTGTTCCAGTATAATGGATATACATGTACTGAGGACAAACCATTGTGATAGCTAATTAACTAGGATGGTCAAGATTATTCAAACAATAATTACTGAAAACTGAAATTCAATGGAAATTTTAAAGCAAAATATTAGGAAAAATAGACATTTTAAAGACCTTGTAATTAATGACTACATTTAGAGGGAGGGAAAAAACTTCAAATATAAGTGGCTAAAATTTATTTAATTTTAGGCTATGTCTAACATGGTAGATATCATACAGCAGATAAATGAATAAGAACCTAAACATGTTAAATGTTTACTTTTAACATACCTAAACATTGTTAAATGAATAAGAACCTAAACATGTCCAAATGTTTCAGATTAAAGATAACTATTTTAGGGGGCCTCCCTGGTGGCATGAGGGGTTAAGACGCAACCTGTGAAGCTATCCATAGCCACTGCAGCATGAGTTCGATGCTCGACCAGGGAGCTAACCCACATGGAGCAGCAGACCTCTCCGAACTCGCCCGCTGCTCCCCTCAGCAGTATGTTCAGTCAGTCTACCTGTTCTGTTCCCCACTCTGTCTCTGGTGAATCTGCTCACCACCCACACCTCTGGCCTGTACCCCAGTTCTTTTTTTTTTAAAGATTTATTTATTTATACAAGCAGTGGGTACAGTCAGAAGCGCGGGAGGGTGAGAGAATTCACCAGAGCCAGAGCAGGGAGCAGAACAGGCAGAAGGATCGAAGTACACTGCTGAGGGGAGCAGCGGGCGCAGGAGAGGTCTGCGCACCATGTGGGACCCTTGCACGACGCTGCAGAGGCTGCGGGAAGCTTCACAACCCAGAGCTCCACCCCTGGGCCACCAGGGAGGCCCTCTACCCCAGTTCTTGTATGCAAAAATAAAATCTTGAGAGGAAAAAAAAAAAACTTTTAGTAATAGTGACCAAAACAAATAGAAAACCATTAGCAACTTGATCTCAGTTAACCAGCCCCCCCGAGGAGGAAATCACATCCATACAAAGAGAAACCTATCTCTCAAACAAACAGGCCATTTTGTGGGGAAGGAAAGAACTTTCTGGTTAATATCTAAAACCATCTATTCTTTATAACTATGGAAGGAGGAAAAGTCAGCAACTTTTCTCAATATTTTAAATAATCAAGCCTGAATAGTATGGATAATAGCTTTAAAAATTAGGTATTTATGCAGTTAACCTTTTTTTTTTTTTAATTTCCCCACTGAAGTCATTTAAAGAAACAGCACAAGCAGTAATATAGTCTCATGTACTCCCCTCAATTTTCTCAAAATAACTTTACAAAATGACAATGATCTGTTACTAGTCATGAATGTATACAAGTACATACACAGGGTGTTATAAAATGGGGGAAAATGCATCTCAGCCCTCCTGGACCAACACACCAGCAGAGCCATCCCCTAGGACACTTAACAGATTCTTTTAAAGAAAAACCTTAAAATGTCCCACCATAGAGATAGCAGCATATTGAGAAAAATAAAAGTAATAATTCACGCACCTGACTGTTTTCCTTTATCCACATTGAGTCCACAGAACTAGACACATCTTTAATAGTGCACGTCACACTAAATTCTTCCCCTTCCCTAAGAAGATGGCTTGCCTTGGACACAGATACAACTGGTACAGCTCTGATGGCTAGAAAAAAAAAAGTCATGCAGCCTTCAAGTAATTTGTTCTATTATGGCGTGAAATTTTAACTTAACCATTTTTCCTCAAATTGATTTTATCATCTTTTAAATAAAACATAAGGTAGATTATTAACCAATCTGTATTACTTGCCTAGCTGAAGATACCCGAAATTAAGTCATGCAGCCTTCAAGTAAATTCATTAATATTGAGTGGAAAAGACAGAAGCATTTACTTAGCAATTATAATGCTTCTGGACAATACTTTTTAAAATTTATTTCAGGCTTTACTTTTTTACTACCTTTTTAATGAAGTACCATTGTTTCACACCCTTGTTAATTATATGTTGGCAGTACAGGATTTCTCCCCTCAGGTGTGGTTACTGAAGCTCTCCTACCACCAAATCCCCACAGTCTCCACCAGTCCACTGTGCTCTCCCTAGGCCCCTTTGGTCAATGCTGTCTTGAAACAGGTAGAAGTCCTGGCGTAGTAAAGTGGTTTCCTCTTATAGAAATTCCCAGGTCTCATAAAGATGTGACCTATAGCTAGTTATATCCTTTAACCAAACAGGCATCTCGCCTATGCTGTAAAAAAAACTTTGTTCCTGAAAATCCCAGGTTTCAAAGAATCAAAATTTCCTGATTTTCAATCAGCATACTCTGTCAAAAACTGAATGAAAACTATTCAACTGTTTAAATGCCAACTGGTATTGAATAGGATGCCCTCTGAGATGCAAAATCTAGGCATCTTCCAGAAGACTTGACATAATACCATCATCACAAGGTCCAGTTGGTATGTTCCAACAAGTCAGGGGGCACTGTCCTTCTCAGATTGGGAAGAGTTTGAGAATGTATTAAAATTAAATAGCTGAGGAGCAAGTCAGTTCACATATCAATAGTAAATCAAGGAGTGAAAAATTTGTATGCTCATCCTTCCAGGGAAACCTTTTAGGAAGTAACTGAAGTTGTCTTTAGTTTCTCAGGGAAGAACGTTTGTGCAATTAAGGTGCTTTGAGGCATCCTGAAGTCAGTGGCTCTACCGTTCTCCCCACTCCACTGAATCTTTGACAGATACACTTAGCTGGAGACCACCATGGGCTGGTGTCCTGGGGTTGGGGTTGTGAAATCAAGAACCCACAAGTGGCTGACTTTATTTTGACCCTGAGGAACTGATGAAGAGCCAGCTGCCTGATCGACAATGCTAACAGGGATGGATGAGAAGAGAGAAATTTTTAGGTCATGAGATTGTCTGAGCCCCAGGAGAAAGTAAGGGAGGCCCGTACCTGCCCTCACTTTCAGAGTGAATTTCTCCGACAGCTCTAGCTTGCCCTCCCGTTCAGCAGAGCAGCGCAGGCAGAGCCGATGATACTCGCGTCTCACGTTTCTGATGGTGATGCCAGCCTTGGGGTCAGCGACAAAGACCAAGCCTTTTGGAAGGGACTTCCCATCACAGCCCCTGAGGGAGTAATCCTTCACCTCTGGATCTGTCAGAGGACAGCGGACCAGCGTATCCTTGTCTTCTTTCCCATACAAGGAAACGTCAGTGAGGAAAAGCTTTGCAGGGTCTATAATAAGCATATCAAAAATTAGCAGTTTGAAGGGCTGGTCACAGACACTGGAAAGATTTTTTTTAAACAATCTAAAATGTTCCCTTTCATAACAATAAGCTCTAGTGGTCCAAGAGGCTATTGTCTTTCTTCTTTGCAAGCCAGAGCAGAATTATCTAAATAAAACTAACAGGTAAGAGTTAATATTCCACTTTCCATGTTTCAGGCCTAAGCTTAGACTCTTAGACACTTTATCTCACTTGATCCTAAAAACACCCCCATGGGATGGGCACTCGCGTCTCACGTTTCTGATGGTGATCCCAGCCTTGGGGTCAGCAACAAAGACCAAGCAAGCCTTTCAGAAGGGGCTTCCCCTCACAGCCCGTGAGAGTAATCCTTCACCTCTGGATCTGTCAGAGGACAGTGGACCAGGGTATCCTTGTCTTCTTTCCCATACAAGGGAAGGCCATATCATAACCAATATTTTATAGATTTTGAAACAAAAGTTTTAAAAAATGACTCTCATGAAGTGACCGGGTCTGGAAAGGGCTGGGCGGAACTCAGACCCACGTCTGACTGATGAAACAATTCAAGCTCTTAAAACTGAGAATATTTTATTACAATAGTCGCTCTTTTTCTACAGCAGAAGCACTGAATAAGCCAGACTGATGATACCTATTAAAGGGTCAGGGACAAGTGTTCTTCCCCTGCCCCTCGTGTGCACCCCTTTCCAGAGTTCCCAGTCTCCAGCATCTTTCAGCTTCAGGATATCATCTAGAAAACTCTCACTACCCTGTACAGATAACATGTGGGTCTCACTCTATCCATAGTCCTTGAGAAACAGGTATAGCTAAAACTCTGGAAATCAAAACAGTTTCAAATACACGAAGGAGGCTTATGAGTTTCAGGAATGTTGTGGTAAATACTTTATTGTCCAAACAAGGATCATTGTGAGTATTATTAATAATTATGTCAGGACACCGGGCATGGACTGGGAGAGACTCAGGTGGACTGGGACCTCATATAAGCAAAGATAAAAAGCTTATCCAGTACATACAATATGCTACCACCCTCTACTGAGTAAAGATAATAAAGATAAATGTCTGGACTAATGGATTATATTAAAAATTGTTTAATTGTCCTTTGTATCTAGAAATCGATGTCCCACAAAAATGAATTTAACGTCACTAAAATATACTCATTTAATAGAACAATTTTGAAAGTTTCCCAAAACGCATTATGTACCTCCCAACCTTACTAGCTTATTTTGCAAATAAATGACCTGATGACTGAACTATGGGTCTGGGGTCATCACTGGTTATTTTTTCATCTACTCTTTCTCAGTTGCTTGAGTCTATCGAGCTCTTCTAATGCCTCAATTCCCTTAATTGTTGTTATATAGATTACTAAGATATCCAAACATTTTAACTTAGTAATAAAGAAGTGTTCTAAGTTGCTGACAACGACATCCCTTATAAAGAAAATTCATGAGCTCAGTGAGACCGATTTGGCTAATCAGCAGTTTTCCCTACTTTTCCAGTTGTCTACCCATCCTATTAAATAAGCAGAATGATGCTTCATTATCACCTGGAAATTATGGAGCACTCCTTGAATGTCAAAGAAGAGCACACAGGTTAGCTCAACAATTATGGAACCATCCCCAGAGGCTAAACTATGGCTTATCAATGCACATTTCTTTTCTGCTACCCACCTAGGAAAGGACGCCAGATAAAGGGAGAAGAAACAGTCAATTTCATGGCAAGCTTTTTAGGATGAACACAAATCAACTTTATTAACTCTTGACAGAGCTAGAATTTGCACAGTTTTGTCTCCCTAAAAATTATAAAAGAGCTGGCTGGCTTATCCAAAAGTGAGACTCTTGAAGTTGGTCAAATGAATACTTTCATTCATTTTTCTTTCCACACACAAATGAGGCTTCTCCTCGGGTCTGTCTCAATGATCACCCAGTCTAGACACTCACCCAGTACTAGAACGGGGACTATTTCTCTCCTCCTATAATTTGATTATGTCGCTTAAGCTTTAAGTACTTCAGTTTTCACATCAACAAAACACTACTCCTTCCCAACCCTTGCCTCCAGCAAACCTCCTTTCGACAAATATGTAACTGCACAAACATAGACGAATCTCTGAACTCATCCTAGGAAATGAGGTACAGAACTCTGTCATTTTTCTTTTGTTTCTAAGAGGCCACAATTTTTTTTTTTAATGAATCAACTGACATCTATTAAGACCTAGGAAGGACATGGGGCGTTTAGCTGACTGAGTTATTTTTCTGGAATTTACTTCTTGAAAGTGGGTCAATTCTTTTGAAGTGTTGGTTTGCTGAGGCCTTTAGAGGCCTTTAGTTCCCTGAAGTGTTTTTACTAAGTGGGAGTATCTGGGATCTCCAGGCATTAAAATACGGCTTTCCCAAAGGGCCTAATTTATTCTCAGGGTTTACTCAGGGCACTGGGACAAATGGGCTAACCATATTGTAATTTCATTAGGAAGAGGATTGTAGCCTCACAGACCTTTAGCTGAAGTTAAGGGGAAACCAACAACAAAAAGAAATTTAGGCTTTTTAGATCAAGCTAATAAAAGTTTATCTATGACTTAGTCATCAAAAATGTTATCCATAGTTAAAATCAAAACACCAAGTTCTCTATAGGCTAGTAAGAAAGAAAAGTCAAGCATTTACCTCTAACAAACACATGAATGGAACTGCTTAAGCCGCCTTCATTGGTGCACGTGTAAGTGCCTGTATTGATGGCCTCTGCCTTCTCCACGATCCATTCATTGTGTGTTTTCTCAGTCAAAGTATCCACGGACTCAAAAGTCCATTTGACAAGCCCAGGATCGCTGCAGAGCAGTTTAATCTCATCGCCAACACTGACTATTAACTCTGATTTTGCTGGATAGATGGATGGAGGAGACAGTTCCTCTGGACTCACAGATGGTTGAGAAGAGCCTGCCAAGAAAAATGAGAACAGTGTTGAGTATGATTTTTTTTCCTTGGCAAAATAAAGCATTTCTTCCAATATTGATTTCCATCTTCTGTGTATGCTACAATAAAAATAGGACAAAGCTGCCCTGCTATTTATGGTTAGAAAGAGGGTTCTGTGTAAAGTTTCCCAAGTTCATCTGGAAATCAAGTTATCTTCTACAATCTTCAATTAATCCTCTAGGTCACACGTGGTGTGCAAGCCAGCATATGCTGGATGCCATAGGCTTCTCTAGGTTAAACATACAATTGGGTCAAGTTTCTTTACCGAATATGAGCCTATGCAATGATACTGACACCTCCCTTAGAATCAAGAGAAACAAAATCTCACACTAGGAGAAGAAACTACTGGCCGACCATCCTTCAGGCAATATTTACGTGACCATGACACAGCTTGGCTTTTTCTGAAAGCTTTGTGAATTCACTTATCTCTATGTAATTATACTTAAAAGACAATGCTCATCAAAGGAGGACCATTTATAAAATTTCAAGCAAGGCAGAAAAAGACACTCCTATTTTAAGCTCAGACTAAAAGATATTTCATGTCATATGTTGGGTTGCAGCTTGATCAACCTAATGCCTAGATAGGTTTCCTAGACAGGAAACTAGTTTAAAGATGCAAACTTTAGGCTCTGAATATGAAACATGAAGCTTAGGAAATTCACAACAGCCAATTCATTCACTCATACATGCATCTGTTGCATGAATGCAAATATCTGTTCATTAATTATGATCTGTAAAAGAATCGTGCTAGGTGCTGGGGCAAAGTCTAAGTAAGTGTGACATGTGTTCTTTACACACACTCCAGAGCTTAAAGAACATACTGCTTGAGTGTCAGAATAAGTAAAACATAGCTCTAAGATATAGCTTTACGGGAATGAAAAAGAAGAGGGCTGAACCTTAACAGTATCAGATGAGGCTAAAAAGAAGACAGACATGTATCATTAGAGATCATGTAGACACTATACGTTTCAGTAGAAAAAATGACATGCACAGCAAGATACCATAGATCAAACAGAGTCAAGGAAATCAGTGAAAAGCTATGGTCTCAGGCAGGCAGAGGCAATAAGAACCTACAGTTAGAATTTGAGACTATTGAGAAAAATGCAATATACTATTAGAGGAAAAAATACATTAATAGTCATAGGTTATAATGCAGTGAAAAAAAAAGGGTGAGGGGGTGACTCACACATGATGACATGGGTAAGGGAGAAAGAAGTCAAGGACCTGAGGCAACAATGCAACAGAACTTCCTAGAAGGTTTTCAACAACCACTGCAGCAGGATCATGGAGAAAATGCACATGATACCCCTACATGAAGGCTGTGCCCCCTCCACACACATATACAGAGATAAAGTGATGTGAGTTATAAAGGAGGAGTAACCACCATCCAAGCTGGGTGGAAAGAGGGGCAGGTGACAGTCAAAGAGCAGCAGATCCCAGCGCAGCAGGAGTAAACAATGCCAGGAAAGTTCCAGATAACTGGGGTGAAGAGTGGAGACAGGATCAGTAAGGGATTGAGACAGGAGAGGGTGGAGACCTGCTTCCAGGTGCCACTTCTCATCTCAAGACGATGAGGGAGTCAGAGAGAGAGACTGCTGTTCATACCCATCTGAAACTTGCCTGATTTAATTGAAACAGCGGAAATTGAAACCAAGGGTCGGGGACTAGCATTATCCAAGAGAAGTGTATGCTTGTGGCCTTTAACCTTGGAGCACATAGAAATTACCCCTGAATTAAATTATACTCTTGTATTTTCCATGGTCTCTTCTTAACCAAATTTGGGGACTTTGATTCATCCACTTTGCTCTCCTTCAGGGTCTGCTCTAGGACCTACCCACTTTCTCTTTGAACTCACTTCTGATGGGTTGCCTCTTTAGCCTCTTCCCTTCCTTTCTCATATTTGATTTTGTTAAACATCTTTTCTACATCCCCTTGATGGGAAGCCTCCTCCAAGACCGGTAGTAAGTCTGTCCCTCCTTTGGTCTCCACACCTTTGCCTTGATTATCTGATCCTATATTAATATTTCACACACACAAAAATTACCTTGCAATATATTTAATCAGTTCAATTTTCTCAGGAGTGGAATTGAAGGGTATATGTAGATATTACAGTGTGAATAATAAATAATGCCTGCCTCTGGAAATCTAGCATGCTAATGTAAGCATGCCCCAGCTGTGTGACCTAAGGCAGGACACTCAACCTCTCTGTCTCCAAGTTTCCACATCTGGAAAATGAAAATAAAAATATCCTCCTCTTAAGAGTTCTTATGAGAATCAAATGCAATAAGTTTAACATAGGACTGCGTGGTTTTCAATAAATGCTAGCTATTAGAGTAAAGCAATAGAGCATGTAAGTTAAGAGCTTTCAATAGAATGCTAATGCACTACAGTTAGAGAATTCAAGAGCAGAGTAGAGTACATGTAATGTTAAGAGCTTGACTCTTAAACTGAGACTGTCAACAAGTACCTTACAGCTTTGCAACTTACTAGGTTTGTGATCTCAGGCAAGTTACGCATCAGTTCTGCTTTAGTCTCCTCATCTGTAAAGTAGGGATCACAATGGCATCTATTTCCTAAAGCTGTTATATAAAGCACTTACAACCATGCTTGGGCACATGCAAAACACATAATACATATTAGACACAATTCAAAACAACCTCTTCTCACCTCTCCAATTAGCCTCTCTAAGGGTTCCATTAGTTTCCAAATGGGTCCCTGCCCTACTTCTCCTTTCTTGGCAGCAAATCCCTTCCACAAAATACTTCTGTGGCCCCTCACCAGATAGCATTTTGCCACCTCACAGAAAAAATACCATCCTCTCCCACCATGCTACCAATGGCTAATTACCCCAACCCCAACTCACTATACTTAACAACCTGAGGCCCTGTGGCCTAAAATCCCACCTTTTTTTTTTCAAAGATTTATTTATGCATACAAGAACTGGGGTACAGACCAGAGGTGTGGGGGGTGAGAGGATTCACCAGAGACAGAGTAGGGAACAGAACAGGCAGATATCCACTGAAATGCACTGCTGAAGGGAGCAGCAGGCGAGTCCGGAGAGGTCTGCTGCACCATGTGGGTAGCTCCCTGGCCCAGGATAGAACTCGCGCTGCAGTAGCTGTGGATTGCTTCATAACCCTGACACTTAACTCCTTATACCACCAGAGAGGCCCCAAAATCCCACCTTTTCAATAACCCCTCTGCCAGACTAAAAAACCCAAACAGGTAGCAGCGGCTAGTGCCATCATCACATACAACTTAAAAAGAGCTTTCATAAGATTCCTTTCTGGACATTTCCTGTCTCTCCAAGCAGACTCAGGCTGGCTAGATGAGGTTCCTGCACACATTCTTGATTCCTTGCTAGCCCCATCTTTCTGTCTGTGCCCCCAGGAGATACCTAGGTGTGTATCTACCAACTCACCTCCTTCTCATATGGAAAGCTCAGTTTTTGTGGGTGCCATTCATTCCCTAACCACCCCAGTCACAATCTTCACTAACTCACCAACATGTCCAACCCCATCACACGTTTGGCTGGTACTCATGTTCAAGCCTAGAACACACCTCCTCTGGCTTCTGAGAATCCTTAGAGGAAGGTTTCCCTTCAGCATAGTCATAAACATATTCCCTTCAATCTCTGACCTTACAAAAGTTTGAAGGACCTACAGGTTCTAAACACCCAATCCCTTTAACATGTCAACGGTCCACTAATATATCCCCAAAAGAGGGGAGAGATGCTAATTTCATTGCTCCACTAAGAAGAGAGTGGCTTAAATCATCCATTAAAACTGCTCTATATACCTCAAAAAAAAAAAAAAAGCCTCCAAATTTGAGATCATTAATTTGACCTTTACTCTTAGTATGAGTTTCCAAACATAAATTTAAAAAAAAATAATTACCACCAGATGTATTTCGGGTTTTAGTTTCAAAATAAATTATTTATAAGTTCAACTCCCAAACTCACACTATGAGATGAAAATAGAGCTTATATTACAGTGGGACTGTGGGTAATCTTTGTTCTCTTTTTTTCTAAACTGTCTTGACTGTTGTTATGCTGTTCTCACAATGGGGAAAAAAAAAAACAAAACTAGAGATTCATGTTAAAGGTGTAGATGTATGTGTGTGTGTGTGTAATGCACTACCAATAAAGTATCTCAAGTGAGCTTTGAAATTGCTCTGAAATTACACATTTTGAAATGTGTTTCCTACATTGCAAGTTCTCAACAAATGTTTGTTGAACTGGATTTTAGCTATATCAGGGTTTTTGCTTTAGCAAATGAACTTCCTTAATAATGTTGGGCTAAGGCTAATATTAAGAATTATTACATGTTCACTGAACACATTAATTAATGAGCCAAATAACAACAAAAAATACAGCAAATTCTATCACTCTGGGACCAACTACTATAGTGAAAGATGGCTTAACGATACAAATCCTACGACTATTCAGCAAATATTCATCCCAGGTAACTTGCTAAGTGCTGAACCTAGAAGGCAGTCCTTGCTCTCAAAAAGCATAAATAAGGGAGGCAAGAGACATGATGAGTAGTCAAGAATGCAAGATTTTAGCAATATTTTAAGATGAATGTCAACATACCCTAAATAACCTCTTTTACAAGCATAAAATTCAACCATGCCTAAAAGTCAAAGCTAGGGCTCAAGCAGATACTTTTATACCCACATTCATAGCAACATTATTCATAGTAGCCACAAGGTAGAAACCACCCAAGTGCCCATCCACAGATAAATGAATAAACAAAATGTGGTATACAGTGGTGCCACTTACTGACACATATATGATCGTGGGAGTACAGGTTAGACTAGGTAAGTTTGTGCAGTTACACTCTAGGACATTCACACAATGATGTACTTCTTTGAATACACCCCTGTCATTAAGCAATGCATGACTATAAATTCTACCTATACTACAACATGGTCAAGACTTGAAAATATTACATGAAGTGAAA